CACAGCCACCCGCAGTACCAGCCACCTCCTCCCAGCGTGTCCAGCCCGCTGCTCACAGCGAGGGAGTGATCAAGGTTCCTATGCTGAAGCCCACAGGAGACAGAGCTGCTGAAGAAACTGCTCCCAGCACGGGTTGTATCAGCTTTAATTTGACAGTGGGGTGTGGTGTCACAGATGGCTGCTCCTATCTGATAATGCTTCTGGTTAGCTCAAAGTAGACCTTCAACCTGTATGGGTAATAGCTCAGTTTGAGATGAATGGGACTGATTGTGTGCCTTGGTGAGGTACTTCTGGGTCCGGTTCTGATTAGCCCCATCCATGCTGGCATCCCAAGAGAAAGGACCATCCAGGAAGCAGTGGGAGGGCATATCTTGGAGGGAGCCTCCTTGAGCACAGTGAGTCACAAATTCATGCTCCTCCCTTCTGACCTCTACTGCCAGATTTTGTTGTTTCAGAGTCAGTGTTGTGCTCCCTTCTTTCTCCATCATCTCAGTTTCTGTTGAATCTTTTTGCCATATGACGTGGACTTGCTAGCCTAGCGCTTCTCAACCTATTACTTTTGGGTTTTTTCCCATAATCTGAATGATTGTACATCTTCTCAGATAATAATAAGCCAGTTATTATTCTGACACCTTCTTTATTATTGATCACAATTTCCTCTTTACAACCTGAGGTCTCTGATACAGTTTTGATTTTTTCATTCCCCTGGAATCACAGCAGAGAGATTTATGTTGGATGCTGAAGAAAAATATCTAATGGAAAAGGAGATTAATCAGTAGAATTGTCTATGTGATCTTTACTGGAGATGGGTTGATTGTTCTTAGAAGTGACTGTAGTAACACTGACTCTGCTGTGGTGCCAAATGATTAAAGTTATTTCCAGGCACTCTGATACTGTGAGGATGAGTTTGTTGTGCTATAGTCATATAATGGCAGCCCATATCTAATTTCAGCCTCTTGTTTAGTTACTTAGCACAGTGATTGCTGCCCCTGCTTCAGACCTGAAGAAGGGCTCATGTGCCAGCAGCTGACTCTTATTTCCTTTCTCATTTTATCAGCTAGTCTTAATAAAAGCTAATTCTTCTTCTTGCCTCTCTGATAAATGAGTTCCCTCCCTTCCCATCCCTGTACAAGCAGTAGAATGAAGCAGTAGTTGTGACATCTGTCTTTAACGCTGGCAGGCTATCAGCTGAGGAGCCTTGTGGTGATGCTGCATTTTTGGTGCTCTTCTGAGTTCAGGCAGGATGGGAAGCAGAGCTGCATGGAGTAGGTACTGCTGTTCCTGCTGCCTCATTACTGCTTCTCCTCAGAGAGCTGCTGGCAGCTTTTCAAAGCTGAATGTTATCCCATCTCGTGTATGCATGTGTATGGGAAGGGGAAATGAGGTACTGAGCTGATGAACAAGCCAGACCTCACCCAGTCCCAACTCTGCTCTAGTATCTCAGCGTGTTCCAAAAAGACATTAAGGTATGTAGCTAAAAATTCAACAAGGAGGGTTTTTTCTCTTACCAAGCATGATGTGCAGCTACATGTTTTCAGCAGGGAGAGTTTTGTAGATGCAGTGAAAGGTTGGAGCTGTACCTCAGCACAACCTTAATACTCTTCATTGTCTTATACGTAATTTTTAAGAGTTGTGTTCTTATCTAATGCTCCAACAAGCTCTCTCTGAAATAAATGGTCTGGGACCCCTGATGAATGTATTGCACATATAAGTAGATGGTGTGGTTCAGCTGTGGCCTAAGCAAGTGCAAATTCCTTGATGTCCATGGAATTGTCTCTGTTTACATAAAAGAGGATAAAATTTGGCTTTGTAGTCTTAAGAGGTGGCATTTTAAACAGCTGAGCTGTTCATAAGGGCCGTTGTGTCTTAGATTTGTTCTTGATCTTACAAAATGTGTATCTAATAAAATACTTCTACAACAATATGAAATGTATACTCTCCACAAAGAAGTGCTACATGGCAGATTGACTCTCTTGTTTTTTTTCATTTAAATTTGAGTCCTAAATGCATCAAGATGAATGAATCAATAACTGACTAGCTACAGAGCTATCAGAAGAGGCATGTTCAGTTACTTCAAGGTACTCAGGAGCATTTTCCATGAGATTATCTTCCTTGACCTTTACATTTGCCATATATTTTTTCATTCTTTTTTTATTCTTTTGCTCAGATTAAAAGCAAAAAAATGAAACAAACAAAAAATGGGATGAAAGCCCAGCCAGGATAGTTAATGGTGAAAGGATGTTAATTTTGAAATTCTTTTAAGTTTTAATAAATCAGAGCTTGTAGCAGAAGGGAGGATGCATTTGTTTTGCGTATTTGAAACAAAGATGAAAAGCCAGGTCTTTACTTTAAACCTTCAGAATCAGCCGGGGTTATTTCAAAATTTAAACCCTTTCCTCTCATCGTATAGAATCTCAAACTGGTCTATAATAAAAAGATTTACTCAGTGCACACATCTTCAAAGAAGTAAAATGCTTTAAAGAAAAATTGAATAGGTCAAAAAGTGCTGTCAGATCTTTGTAGTGTGGAGGTAGCAAACAGCTGTGCTCAGTTTATTCCCAGGCACTTGGAAGCACAGCTGTGCTGAAGTCCCATCCTACTGGCACATTCAAAACAGTCATTTGTCTTAGACTCCAGCTAGGAGTTCTGAACTACCAACACATTAGGTTAATTTTGAACTTCAATTTGTAAATCTTAAAATGCATAACTTGCTGGGAATCTCACCAGGACATGCTGGGTAATTTTTGGCCTGGCATAAGGAAGTTTCGATTTCTGCGTTAAAATGGGAGCATCATTGTTCTCCTGAAACCACTTCCCAGCAGCAGACTGTGCTGGCAGCAAAATCAGTTGTTATCTTGAATAAAATATTCAATAAGCACAGTATTCTGATGTGGTTACGTTAGTGCCTTTGATTCAACTTTTTTGCTACAATGCTTGACAAAGGAGGGTATTATTTCCCAGGTATAGAGTTGTTTATAAGATATGATAAGGAAAAACAAAACAGTGGGTTTTATTCCTTGCTTGACTTTGAACCGAATAGTCAGAACATGGTCTGTCTAAAGGGAAATAATTTTTAGCACTTCACAGGCCATTTTGTTACACTGGTACCTGTTAGTGCAGACCTTGGGAGTCCCTCTGGCCGGAGGGAGTAGTCCTGCCCAAGTGCCGGCTTGGGTGTGCTGCTTGAGCCAGCCTGGCTGCAGGTGTTTCTCAGGAGACAGGGGTTCAAGTGATCTGTCTTTTATAACTAGCTAGGTCTGGTTTGCAGTGTTCCAGATACTCATCTCTTACAGATGCATTCTGGCAAATCTGACGCTGGCAGTTTTAAGGCAGGAGTGCCCCGGTCCTGATGGCAGCGCACACATGCTCTGTCAAAGCCTGGCACTTCTGCTGAAACTGCTGATGAAAGTAGCTTGGGAATAAGGCACTGGGCTGTGAACTAGAGAGTCTGGGGCTGCCCCGCATTCCTTTCTGCTGAGCCTGCTCTGGCTGGTAACCTCTGGCACTGGAATGGGGCAGGCAGCTGGGACGGCAGCATCAGAAACCGCTGCAGCCAGAGCTTTTCTGGCAGAGCTCTGAAGCAACTCATTTGGCTTCAGCCTCCAAGTGAAGGCAGTGATGCTGACCCATGCAGAGGTGGTGGGAAGGGGAAAGCAGTGGAGGAGCTGTATTGCTACTTGTTTTAAAATGCTCTGGAGCAGCCAAAATGTCTTTTTGGCCTCAAACAGAGCAGTCCTGTTGCAGAGCCCTTGAGAGTGAACAGAAACTTCATAGGTAACTGTTTTCAGTGCAAACTTGCACGCTTTGCTCCCAGTATAGGATAAAATGGAACTGCTCCTCTTTCAGCAGAAGAGCTTGCTCCTGTGGTATTCTGGGATTATCAGTGAAATGGCTTATCCAAGGAGATCCTATGAAAATTGGTTCCTTAGCAAAACTTGGGTGTTCCTGCAAGCTGCTCATTGTTTCAAGATGTCATTCCCTTGCGCAGGGAGAGGAAATGGAGGAGGAGAAGGAGTCTGCACAGATCCAAGTTGATGGAGGGAACGGTTCCCGGGATGATACTGACAGGGACAGGAGCTGTGGGACCAGATGCCCAGCACTGATTCTGTGCCAGGGCCTGCCTGCGACTGGTTTTACCCACTCTGTGTTTGCTGCTTATGCTGCTTTGAATGTCACAAGGCTTTTTGGATTTGTGCCTTTCTCACTGCCATACCTAATCTCTTCTTCCTCATCCCTTTTAAACAAGCCCTATCCTGTAGGCCGCTTTTCTTCCTGCCTCCAGCCCTTCCCCTTGCAGTCTGACTGGCACCTTTGTTCTTTCCAGACCACAGTCTGCTTCAGTTTCCAGTGTCTTCTCTAACCGGATTTCTGTGATGCGCTTCTTTAGTGTTAGCTAATTTATCTACCACCTGATCTTCTTTTCCCTAGTCGCCACTCCAACCTGTTTCACACAGTCCTTTCCTACTTCCTTCTCTGACTTTATCCAGCCTCCCTACATCATCTCTAAATCTGCTACTTCTGAGATACCAACAGCCTTCATCCTCCCCCTTTTTAGCAGTGGTTCTTGAAGCTGGCAGGGTTCAGTTGCTGTTGCTCGGATTTATGGAGTGCTCTCCTCTGCCCAGAGAGTATTTAAGATCGATAGAAAAGTGCGGAGCTGGGATTTAGCCTCCTGCACCCCTAGCAATAGCATTGGGTAGAAAAATACTTGTCTGTACAGAGTGGCATTAGGGTGTGTTTGCAGAGCAGTACCAGGACACTCCTGGGTATTCGATATGTTGCTGCCAGGGCAGGTGCCAGTTACTCCCCTCTAGTGGCCAAGCTGGCCTGCTGGCACCTTCCTTTCCCCAGCCCTGCCTGGAGAATCAATCCCTGGGAAGCTTTATTCCTAGTAAAAAGGAGAGGATCTGGCAGTGCTGATGTTCTTTGCTTCTCCTTTAAAACCTGCAAAAATAACTGAATGAATGATAAGCTCTCATATTTATATGTTCCTCCCACAGGGCTCAGGCGTGATTAAAGCAGGTTTTGCAGGCGATCAAATACCGAAATACTGCTTTCCAAACTAGTAAGTATTCTGCTGGTCTTCGTAAGTTCTTAGTACTGTGTAACAATTCTTTGATGTGTAGCGGGGAGGAATGGTCCAATTTGTAACTGGAGAAATGAGTTATTCTTTTTCTGCCTGCTGCACAGAAGCATCGGTGGGGGGGGTGTCTCTGCTATTAAGTGCTTTGAGATTTTCAGGGGGGCACACACCATAAAAGATGACATCACTTTGTCAGGCTCGACACCAACCAAAGCTGTAGGATCCTTTAGTCTTGAGACATTAGGAAAAGACCCTGGGAAAAGACAAAGTTGGGATGAGAGGTGTGAAGACCTCTATGTAATTTTTTGGTATGTGGTCTGACGTTTTGATTCCTGCCAAACTTCTTTGGAAGTTTTCTGAGAGTTTTACTGGAAGAAGGACTGCTGAATCAGGAACTCTGAAAAGTTGCTGACTTTTATTTTCTATGGGGTGGGTTTTCAATGAGTGTATTTGTGTTCTGAGCAATGTGTTCTGTATGCTGAGGTGGAGCATGGAACTATAAATGTCTAATCTGAGCAGCCTACCTGAGGTCAGGCAATACCATGTGGATCTGTCAGCTCAAACCATTGCTCAGTCTAGCCACGTTCACCCCAGGCACTGTTAGAACAAGCAAGTCCAGAATCATCAGCGAAAGTGTGGCCAGACTCAGGTGGCTTATGTCCTGCCAGTTCAAAAGTGTCTACAGTCTGTTCCCTTTGCCTCTGATTCTGAGATTAGCTTGGGGCAAACCTGAGTCTGCCTGCACCTGGTAGTGTCCCCAGGCTCACCCATGACTTTAGAAAGTACTGGTTAGGACAGAGAGGAACACAAAGTAGTTAATCTTTGGGTGCATCTGAACTCTCTCTCTAGAAGCATTTATACTCTTGCCTCTGTTCTAGTGTGGGCAGACCAAAGCACATTCGTGTTATGGCTGGTGCTTTAGAAGGGGACATTTTCATTGGTCCAAAGGCAGAGGTAAGAAAATCTGTATACTGCATTTCTCCATATATCTCAGTGTGCTGCAAGGACGGGCTGTAGCAGTTGTGCTTAAAAGGGCTGTGGTTCCTTTATCAGTGTATGGATCTCGAGAGCAGAATAGATTGTCACTTCTAAGTGTGTCCAAGGCGGAGTGGGATTCTTGTGCCAACCTGCTGACCACAGAGCTTTTTCCCAAGTCCTTCTATGTCTCTTCTTTTTCCTAAACTATTTCTAGGTCTGTATGGTTACATCCCCATCTTTTTGGCTGGGAATTTTAGAAATGGACCCTACTTGGTTGCCTTTTTTCTCCCTGGTGTGGGCAAGAAGCCTGCTTTCCACAGTCCTGCTTCTGCCAGCATGTAGTCGTATGGTCTCACATGTCTCATGAGCCCTCTGAACTACATTCCCCAATACCATCCTTTTAAGTTTTATATTATGACTGAGCTGGTAGAACAAAGATACTATTTGATGGGTGTCTGTATGTTGGCTTGAAAACTGTTAGGATGGAATGTGCTCTGCAAATGCCAGACTTTCCTACTTGATATAAAAAGGCCGTGTTTAGTCTCGTGAATACTTCTCTGGGAGACATGTTTGTGATTAATGTTCAGGTTTTGCCCTATATGCTAGAGATATGTTGTCTTTTAGTATAATCAAAATTAAGTGAATCTGACAGATTAAGTCATAGTCACAGTGCTCAGAAATGTGGTTGTTTGAGTCTGACAGGTATGCTCTATTGTTGTTTCTGTTTGCTCAGGAGCACAGAGGTCTCCTCTCTATCCGATACCCGATGGAGCATGGCATAGTGAAGGACTGGAACGACATGGAGCGCATTTGGCAGTATGTGTATTCAAAAGACCAACTTCAGACATTCTCAGAGGAGGTGAGATACCTCATTATGTAGTGGCACAGGTGTCATTCAGTGGGCATATAACACCGGGAGCCTTGGAACTTCAGGCAAGACTTGGGACTCCCTTTGCTGTTCTTTCTAAATGTGTCTGCTGTTAAATTAGGCTCTTTCACTTTTCAGGAAATACTGCACAAGAAGTGTACAAGCATAATTCCTCCCCAGATCTAATATTCCGGCTTGACTGAAAATCAGACTTTTCAGCATTTGTTATTCATGCTGTCTCTAATGATTCTGCTGTAGACCAAGTGCTTCTGACTTTTCCTGCTCTGCCCGCACATCAGGCATATCCACTCAGCAGTGACATGATTTGAAGTGAGGAAGGAGAAGACCACAATCATGTGGTCTGGAAGGAGCTGAACAGAAAAATTATTAAATGACTGAGAGCAATAGGTTGTATAAGTGGAGTAGGAATATTTCTGCCTGCTTGTGCTAAGACCATATGCCTTCACCCTTTCTTAGGGTCAGTGTATTTTGGGCAACCTGGCTGGCTTTTGGCACCGAGAGTCATCTTGTTTGACCTTTACAGGGCAGGGTTGCTCACAGAGTAGATTTCCTAACACTTCTTCATTAATAGACCGGAGCCCTGCTGGTCTTCTAACTTAATAGAGGTTATTCACAGTCTAATACAGCTCAGTAGCTGAAATTATTCCCTTTTACCTGCCCTCTTGCACCAGTGGTTCCTAAAGTGAATGAATAAGCAGAAATATTCTGGAACACACGTCTAGCTGCCTCCTGGTTATTGCAGCACAGCTCCTTCTTTTCTTTACCAGCATCCTGTGCTGCTGACGGAAGCACCCCTAAACCCACGCAAGAACAGAGACCGCGCTGCTGAGGTGTTTTTTGAGACCTTCAATGTGCCAGCACTGTTCATCTCCATGCAAGCTGTGCTTAGCCTGTAAGTGTCTTTCGTCTTTCATTTGCGCTTATGAAATGTTCCTGTGAAATCCATTTTTTTCCACAAACCGAAAAAAACTACAGAAGACGACACGGATGTCTGATTTGTCCCCTTTTCAAGCAAGAACTGAAATTAATTTTCAATTTCTGTAATAGAGTTTACAGGAATTTGCTGAACCATGTTGAGAACTAGGTTTTGGGGTTTTTCTAGCCCCTGTTCATGTGAAATCTCTGGACCCTGAGCTGAGCCTGGGTGTGCTGCATGCTTGGGGTCACGTTGAATTGCTTATTCTGACTTGATTGTTTGCTTCTTTGCTAGCTATGCGACTGGGAGGACTACAGGAGTGGTGCTGGACTCCGGGGATGGTGTTACCCATGCAGTCCCCATCTATGAAGGCTTTGCCATGCCTCACTCCATCATGCGGATTGACATTGCTGGCCGTGATGTCTCACGCTTCCTGCGTCTCTATCTCCGGAAGGAAGGCTATGACTTCCACACGACCTCCGAGTTTGAGATTGTCAAGACCATCAAGGAGGTGATGTACTGTCTGTTTCTGTGTTTATCCAAGAAAGGATTTCTGCCCAAGGGAAGTCATGACTTGTGAAATCTAGTGGGAAGTGCCAGCCTACCTAGCTCTGCACCTCATTCCATTATCTACCTGAGGGACACTAGGGTCACTAAGATCGTTAAAGGACTAGAGCATCTCATATGAGGAAAGGCTGAGGCAGCTGGGACTGTTGAGCCATGAGAAGAGAAGGTTGTGGAGGATCTCATCGATGTATATAAATGTCTGAAGGGAGGGTGCAAAGAAAACAGCCAGGCTCATTTCAGTGATAGGACAAGAGGCACAAACTGAAGCATACGAGGTTCTGTCTGAACATAAACATTTTACTGTGAGGGTAACCAACCAGTAGCACAGGTTATCCAGAGAGTTGTAGAGTCTCTATCCTTGGTAATATTCAAAAGTCATCTGGACATGGTCCCGGGCAACCTGCTGTAGGTGACCCTCCTTGAACAAAGAGGTTGGACAAGATGATCTGCAAGAGGTCCCTTGCAACCTCATACATACTGTATTCTGGGGATTTATGGTCAAGATCACATCTAATCCCTTGTGAGGGGCTATTGACATGGAGGTGAAGACAGGCTGCTTTGCATTTATCTGTGCTGCAGTTTCTCAAGGGCTGATGATATCTTTCACTAATGTTTGTTTACCCTTCAGGGCAAGGCTCTGTAAAATCCATGGCAGGTAGGGATCACAAGTGGGATAACTGCACGTTGCTTCCCCTTCCACCACCTGTGAAAGAATTCACTCACAACATTCACATTTACAGAAGCTTCCCCTCTTTATAGGGTTTGCAGTGTTTAGTGACTTTAGGGCTATGCAGCAGTTTGGAAAGGCGTGACTAAGGTCCCTAGCCAAAGCAGTTACCTTGGCTTCTGTTGTGTGCCAAGAGAGGAGGACAGAGGTGGGACAGTAGCTCAGAGCTGGTGACGGCTCCCAGCAGCTTTGCAGCATTGCCGCGCTCACACAGACAGGTTGCTCTCCAGTTTCAGCAAGGCTGTGTGGGACTCGGGGCTGCCTGCACATCCATGCCTTCAGTACATGGGGTCAGTCCTCAGATCAGTACTGGCTGTGATTTCTGTGTGCTGGGGCCTTCCCGTTGCTGCCATGCTGTGGGCCCGTGTCACAAGCTACAGTTGCCACAGATAACTGTGGGCTGAGTCAGCAGCCTGTGCCAGGGATTGAGGGTGTTAATGAGCTCTTCTTGAGCCTGTGACCTAGCAGCAAAGGACCATAATAATGGAAATAGTTTGCTTGTTCTGCATGGCCATAGCTCAGTGTGGCTGTGCTGAGGGATGAGTGCTTGTGCTTCATGTCACGGTACAGCTGAATGGCTTTCTCCTGTTGCCCAGACCAGGAGACTTCAGAGAGTTGTAGGTTTTAACCCAGTAGCTGCTCTCTGTTCTACAAGTGCTGATTGCTGAATAGGTGAAAAAAGCTGATGTGTGCACAGACTGCAGCAGCTGTGGACCAGAGGATCTAGTGATCAGAGGCTTGCTGGAGAACTCATCGCTTCAGAAGCCGCCTGTTTTGTACCAACCACCAGTTGCCGTGCAATTGCAGCGGCCTTACGGGACAAAGCAAGAGACTTCTAATCTTCATAAATGGCCAAGGCTCCCTTTGCATCTTGAGTGATGAAACTATTAAAAGACATTGTGCTGACTGTTAAATGCAATGTCTTGCACCAGTGCAATCATTTCTCTGGACTATACATTTAGGGAATTTGGAAAGTGAGCCAAGTCCTGCTATGCATGGTGACTACCCTCACCAGTGAGGCTGTTGAAGAAGGGAGGAAACAACCTGATGTTTGCTCTCCAACCTACACCTTTTGCTTTATTTTAAGATTAATTTTAGCTGGGGAAGGTGTTGCAGGTTTCTGGGATATACGTGCCAGGAACTTGCAGTGAGATTTCTGCTGATGCTGGTGCATCAGCGTTTGTGACTTGATTTTCAAATCTGAGGGGTTGAGTGTGGCTTCTTGTGTTTGCAACTTTTTTGCCTGAAGAGAAGTTTGGATGTGCAGCCTGAATGCACTGTGGCAAGCACAAAGCTTGCACAAGGCAAAGGTCCTGGACATGGGAGTTTCTCGATCACAAAAGCTGCTTGTGATCTGTTGGAGTCTGTCTGACTTGAGATTTATTTTTTTTTAAGGAGAAAAATACTAGGAAAGAAATTTGGGGATGTTGAAAAGCCTAGAGGAGGAATTACCTTGAAAGGAGAACTCTTAATATGTTCTCTGTTTCTTGGTTGACTGTGAGGGTGGTCAAACACTGGAACAGGTTGCCCAAAGAGGTTTGTAGATTCTCCATCTGTGCAGGTATTCCAAATATGGCTGGACATGGTTTTGGGCAGCCTGCTCTAACTGACCCTGCCTGAGCAGAGGAGTTGGACTAATGATCTCAAGTGGCCCCTTCCAACCTAAATGTTCCAGTGATACTGTTTAGATTTTTTTTTTTTAATCTCCAAATGATAAAAATCTGGAATAGCAAAGCTTAATGTGGAGTGCTGGAGCAGTTTGAAAAGTCAAAGTATTTTTTTTCCCTGTAACTTAAAATCTAGGTGGGCAATGGGAAGCGAGCAGCTTAGATCACAGTAAGAAACTTTTGCTGTTAGCTATTGGTTATTGTTTACCCTGTTGAAATGTAATAACAGACTTTGTTCATGCTCCTAATCTGTTGCAAAGTTACCTGAGCCCACCTTTACACAAAGTTAATGTCACTAAAGGTATTTCAGGTGTGTGTTTTGCTTTGCCCTACAGTAGGTTGTAAGCGCTGACAGGATAGTTACCCCATCTGCATAGAGGGAGGTAACTTCTAAGCAGTAAGAGAGAGCTGGAAGCAAGGGGTGAACAGGAGCTAGAGGGAGTGTGAGCATCCTTGATGTCTCTGATCATCACATGGAGCTGTAGCATGAATAGGCATTTTACGTGATGTGAACTGAAAAGGTCTTTTCCCCAGCACAAAATATTATTGAAATTGGTCTTCACAAAGGGACTCACCGATTTTGATTGTTAGTGAGAGAAGTATTTTATCAGAGGCATTTGAGTTTACCCTTTTCATCTCCCTCTCCCTGACTCTCTTTCCTCTACAGCGTGCCTGCTACCTCTCAATAAACCCCCAGAAGGATGAGACTCTGGAGACCGAGAAGGCTCAGTACTACCTGCCAGATGGAAGCACTATTGAGGTTTGTAAGGACTGCCCTCAGAGGATTCCTGATGTGAAGCACGAGGTTTCCAGAATAGCCTTCTGCCTAGTGATGGGAAATTTAATGCGGTGTTAAGTGGGAGGGAATAATTTTAAAAGACCAGAACTCATCCCAGGCTGTTGACTGGGAACTAGAATCTTTAGGGGAAGAAAACGTGATTAGAAACATCACAACTTCTACTGGGAAGTCCCGGGTAAGGATGCAGCATGACCATGGGGACACTGAGCTGTTTGATTGCAGGCTGTGATCTAGCAAATAAATCTTTTTGTAGAGCCGGTATGGAGCGTGGCTTGTTATAAGCTCACTAAATTCAGCATCGGTTTTGTATGTGGCTTTTGTCCTGCCTAGAGGTGCAGAAACAATTGCTTTGAAGTGTGAGTTAGGAATACACCTCTGAAGACTGAGCCCACTGTAGAATGGTTGAAGGAGAGGAAATACAGGTCTTACCTCCAGCACCAGGGTGGATCTACTCCCTTTTCTGCCAGTGACCTGCTGTATGGGGCTGAGCAAGTTTCCTTATCTCTTTCACCTGCAAAATGGAAATAGTGCCTTTTCTAGAAGCAGGAGACCAAAGCGGCATTCACTTGGCAGCTAGTGATGCAGCATGAATGTCCAGAAAACTTCTTCTACTCTGAAGTTTCATCTAAGACAGGCAGGCCCAAACTGTAGACAGTGAACAGAGCCACACTGCTCTCTTCCCCTCTGTGCTAACTTCTCCCCTTGCAGATCGGCTCTGCCCGTTTTCGAGCCCCAGAGCTCCTGTTCCGGCCAGACCTGATAGGAGAGGAATGTGAAGGACTCCATGAGGTGCTTGTTTTTGCCATTCAAAAATCAGACATGGACCTGAGGCGAACGCTGTTCTCCAACATCGTGCTGTCTGGAGGCTCCACGCTTTTCAAAGGTTTCTGCCTCTCCTCTTTCAGTGGGCTGTGACATACCTGATCTTGGGCTTCCTTCTCATGTGAAACTGGGAAGATAACCTAGATCACCCAACTTGTCCTGTGGGGTGAGGGCTGTGGGAACTCTCTGGTCTCAGGGGGTTACTGTCTAATTTTCTGGGTCCTAGTCATGTCCTTCTGGGTATGCAAGACACCTCTGCCCTTGTACATCACTTCCTGGGCTTGAAGGGCTTTTATTGTTTTCCTCCTATCACTCTGTATCAGGACTGAATAGCTGTGTTTGTTCCTGCTGCTGTAGTTCAGGATTGTTGAGACTAGGTCCCTAAAAGGCTCTTGCATCTCCTATGTTTCCATTAGGTCTCTAGTGTGTGAGAGAGTCCAATGATCCTGGTACTGCATGAAATGTCAGCTACCTGTGTGCAGAAAACTTTCTACCCATCCCCTCAGGGCTCAGCTGACCCCCATCGACTTAAAGATATCCTCTGCCAGAACCTGTCAGCCTGTTACCCACAGGTGGACATCTCCAGATAGGTCCTGGTGTTCCCATTCAAACCCTGCTCCTGTGCACAAACGGGCTGAACACAGGAGGAATGCCCAGGAAAGGAGGAGGGACCTGGCCCACCTGTGGTCCTAACTAAAAATCTTGTTTGCTCATCTCAAGTTGCTGCTGAGGGATAGAGCCCGTTGTGCTAGTGTTTGAGGTCTGCCTGAGGGAGGCAGAATCCCATTATCTCACTGTCTGTGTTCTGTGCCTCTCCAAACTGGTCTCTCAGTGTGATCTGGAGTGGGATATTTGAATAGGACTGCATAGGACATGTCCACATTGTTAGTAGATGGAACTTGGGATTTTGCTGAGGAGCTCAGACCACACATTTTCTGTCTTGTGTAGGCTTTGGTGACAGGCTGTTGAGTGAAGTGAAGAAACTAGCTCCAAAGGACGTCAAAATAAGGGTAAGAGCAATCTCTTTTGTGGCTATCACTTACTATGTATGGTGTTCTCTGGCCTTTAAAGAACCATGCTAAGAATGCAGCTGCCATTTGCTTCAAACCAGAAATGGCTTTCCTGAGACAGCCCAACAGTATTTGCTGTTATGATGAAAACCTGTTTGGTTTCATCATAGAGAAGGTGGCTCCTGACAACATGACCCCTGTCCAGGATCCTGGACCACTGTGGCTCTTCTGGAGGGTGCTGCTGGGTGTCTTTCTGGTGGGAGAAACATACCTGTGTTTGTTAGTTGTCAGCTATGGTGAAATGGAGGCAGTGTGCCAGGAGGAGCAGACTGGAGCTTGGGAAAGTACTGACTGATTCTCTCTTTCTCCCAGATATCAGCTCCTCAGGAGAGATTGTATTCCACGTGGATTGGGTATGTACTGCACAGTGACACATCTTGCTGTGGGACGAGGGGAGGCGCAGCCTGCTAGCACTCATGCTGTTGTCCCTTCTGGTGCTGTGTCGGGAGGGCTTCATCATTGAGCTGCGCGATGCTCAGCGCGGTTACTGAGCTAACTCCACCTGCACTGCCAGCCCCTTAAGCCTTTTCTGTCCTTAGGGCTCCTGCAGGACCTGTTGATCTTCCTTGTCTTCCCAGTCTTAATGTCCAATCTAAGGGAGCACAAGCTCATAGGTAGTATGTTCCTTAGGGCAGAGGCTCTAGGTATATTCTCCTTTATGTGTTTGTCTTTGCTGCAGATGGGGAGAACTAAACTCTGCTCCATAATCCTGGGAAGTGAGACCAGATCCCATAGGAATAGAGCTGGTGTTTGGAGCAGCATCAGCGGGTTGTTTGGGTGGGAGAGGCTGGTGCCAGGCGCTGTAGTGCCAGCACGTTTGAGGCTGACAGGAGGGGAAGTGGCTCTCCAGAGAGGGTTTCTTTTGTAGATAACTGAGAGCCTCGGCGTCTTTCTGACGTGGAAGTGTTACACAATAGAAACAGCTCATCTCTGCAGAGGTGTGATGAGGGTGCCCCCAACATCTTCCTTTAACACATAATGTGCCTGTCTTTCCCCAGTGGCTCTATCCTGGCCTCACTGGACACCTTTAAGAAAATGTGGGTTTCGAAAAAAGAATATGAAGAAGACGGAGCTCGTGCCATCCACCGAAAATCCTTCTAGCTCTGGGACCTGTCCTCAGTCTCCTCTGAAGACTCACTTCAGTTCTAAACTCGCTTTTCTGAGTCCGAGTGTCTGAGAGCTGCCTGTGTGTGTGTGTGTGCGTGCCAGCATGCCCCGATGTCACTGAGCAAAGACAACAGCAGCAGGAGGGTTGTATTAGTACTAACTTTTTTATTTTATTTTTGTTTTTTTTTTTTTAAATGGAAAGGAGAAAATACCAATCTGAATTTCTCCAGAATGGCCCATTCCCTTTTTCATTTCAGTCCCTTAATTTCTGTATTGCAATTACATTTGTCACTGTAAAACAAACAAGCAAGCAAAAACAAAGGGAACAGCTTATAGAAACTGCCTAGCAAGCCAGAAGGGAGCCAACCACTGCAGACTGCTCACACAGGCTTTAGTCAGCCCAACTGCGATGCCTGGATTGTCTGGAAACACGTAGCTGAGGCCCCATCGCTACTTTCTTCTTCAGCAGTGTCTTCACCATCAGTACGTTTTTGAAGTTGTTTTTAATATATTTTTTTATTAAGAGAAAGCACATTCTCAACAGTTAAGCCCATTTGCCCCCACTGTTTTTGGTGCGTGTATGCATGTGTAACTTCTTAGCCTGATGTGTGGGTCTGCACCACAGCTGGAGAAGGTGGTGGTAGGACTTAGTTTGTATTGCATGGAGTAGAACAAAGCAAATCTAATCAGTTAGCATTGTACTAGACGGTTATTCTCTCATACCTTGTTTTAAATATCTTTTCTCTGGAAGCAAGTGCCCCAGAATGGGGGTGAAGGCACTTGTGTGTTCCCCCTCAACCTGCCAAGATTTGCAGTGCTGAGTTCTCATGTTCTTTCCCTGTAAGAGTCAAGGCTGTTTCCCTCCTTCCTGCCATGTCAGGGCAAAGGGAGCATGTATTTGCAGCCAGGCATAACTCTTGTGTACTTTACTTTATCCATTCTGGGGCAAAATAATAATTGGAAAGGTGCATTGTAATGTAAGAATTGTTTTATTTATTGAAACATCTGAGGATATCTCAAATACTGACTGCAGCACCCAGGAATTATGCTTTGGGTCTTCTTTGAACACCTGTTACCCAGCTGCCCATGGTTTGATGTTAATGCTGTTTACAGCAGAATAGCCCGACAGCCCTTGTGGCACCACCCAGTGACTGCTCCGTAGGGAATGTGCTAAATGAGAGGACAATAAACTGCACCAGGACACTGTTGTGAGCAGGAAGCTGTTGTGATGGCTGTGTTCTGCCGTACTGTGTAGGCCTTTCTGCTCACCTGGTGGCTGCTTTGCTTTTACAGCCGCGGGCAGGCCTACAGCCATGCTTGGTCTTGGGGTGTGTCAGTGTTTCCCCTTCAGGTTTTTTTAATGCATTATTTGGTGCTTCCCCCCCCCCCCCCCGTCACTTTTTTTGTCATCCCCCCCCCCCCCCATGTCACTTTTCTGCAATACCTGGCAGTAGCAGTGGAGCTGGCATTACTTGGTGGCAGTTCCTCCCTGTTCCCCCCCCTTTCTGTTCATTGCCATGCATCACCTGGGGGTCACTCTTGAGCGCAGAGATGGGGCATAGAGCTGGCTGCAGCAGAGGCGCAGCAAAAGCTGGTGCATTGCCCCCGCTGCGATGAAAGCGCATGGTGTGCTGCCCCTGCAGGAGCCAGGCTCAGAGAGGCTGTAGGCAGTCATGTGTGGTGGTCTTTTCGCAGCTGAGGCCCGGCTGCTTGTTCACCTACCCCCCTAAGAGCAGACTTTTTTTTTTTTTAAAAGCAAGAACCTGTTGGGTAGAAAAGGGCTGTCAGTGCTCAGCCTTTGCAGGAAAATCAGTTGTGTTCTTGCTGGTTTGCTGCAGTGTGTAGAGGGGAAGCAGCAAACCCCTCTGGGTCCAGTTGCTACGTGCCCCCGGGCAGTGCCAGTGATCTCTTCCTCCCCCTCCCAGGCCCTGTGCTGGCCTGGCAGAAGCAGCAGTGCACCATTTTGTAACCTGCAGCGACGGACAGAAAGGTGCCGTCTCCAATCTAGCATTCATTTGATCTGCCTGACTGTTCCCTCGCACACTATCCAAACCATGTTGCCTGGTGGTGCCCAGCATACTTAAATAAAGTAATTCATATACAACCCTCAAGCCTCCTGGCCTCATGTTCCCACATTTGCAATTCTAAGGAGGTAACTTGTGTTCTCTTGCCTATGCAGAACTGTTACTGGCCAGTCTGCAAGGAGATGCCCTCTTTGGTCCAGGATTGCCTTCCTGATACGGCTTTTGAGCTGAGGGAGGCGAGTCTGGAGCTGCAGCTGTGGTCTGCACTGGTGGTGTCCAAAGCTGCCCTCCTCCTTGGCAACCCTTACCCCCCAGACCTCACTTTGTCACTGCAGACCGGTCAGGGCAGCTGAGGCACAGAGCAGCCGTGGGTGAGGGCTGGTGCAGGCAGAGAGAGCAGCCCTGGCTGAACAAGGGTGATGGGAGTGATGCCACAGTTGTCGTGAGAAGAGCTGGCTCCAGCCAAGAACTCGCACGGCGAGCTTTGCTCCCAGGGCAGGCTGGTCCAGTCCCTGCACCCTTCCAAAGCACCAGGGGTGACTCGCCTGCCCCCAGAAGGCAGGTGATACATGAGCCTGCTGCTCCTCTCTGCCCCCTGCAGAACCAGGCACCAGCAGAGAGTTGTGCTGGAGAGGCACAGTCCCATTGTCTCCCACACCACCACGGTTATGTCCCTGCAAGCACCATCTGAACCCAGCCAGGTTAGATCCACCTGCCAGAAAAATCACCGAGCAGTACAGAAAAGATCATCTTTAATTAATGAAGAATCATTCTCAAACTTTGTTAGAAGTTGCACAAATAACTTACGGTTGAGCCATGGAGCTACAGCACCGTCATGGCAGGAGCATCCTGGTCCAAGACAAAAGGCAGCCATGTCCCAAGGTGAGATGGCAGGTTTGTGGGCCGAGACCCCACAGGGACCCCAGCACTACATACACAACAGCACGTCCCCAAGCAGCCTTTCAGGTGCTGCCTGCACACCTGCTGCAGGCATGCACAGGGCAGAGCTCTGCTTTGGCACATCTGCCTGCACCCAAACACACTGCAGGCACTGAGACGACACTTCCCGCACCTCGGGGATCCCTTTGGTGACCACCTGCCCAGTCTGCTCCCAGACAGAACCAGGGATGCCAAACCACCTGATCAAACTTGGGCACTGTTTCAAGTGGAGAGGAGCTGAGATGTCCATCTCTCCCCACACAGGTAAAACCTCAACGCTGTGACTGCCCGGCGTTGTGTCCAACAGGCTCCAAAGAGGAATTGAAGGCACAAAAGCAAGACCTGGTGTCTCCTCCAGGCTGCCTCACTGGGTGACCTGGGACAGCCATGGGCAGGGAGGCACTTCCATGGGCTTGGTTAGGGATTGGTTCCCTGACCTTGGCCCCACAGCCTCAGCCAGCATGGGAGGGGGCTCACAGCACAGCTGTGTGGCAGCACGGACTGGAAGGGGCTGTGGAGGGGAGAGGAGGGATAAACACAGGCAACGGGATGTTACGATGTTCCAGCTCAAGGCTCTGAGCCCAGTGCTTTTCCCAGGCCTAGCAATAACTCCCTCTGCAAGGCCATGGGGGGGGAGCCTCAGCATAAATCAAGCACAACTGGCAGACCCTAGCTGTGCAGAATATTGTCCTGGGAACAAGAAATGCCCAAGAGCAGATTTGGTCCAAGAACCACAGCACTGTATGTGGGAGGGGTTGTGCCAGCTACTGGGAAAGGCCTTCAGGGCCTTCATCCCTGCTCCTGCCATCCTGAAATTGCTCATCTCGGTCACTTGGTCTCTCAGGAGCCTCCCACTCCACTCCCCGAAGCAGCGGGGCTCTAGCAAGGAAGGACTCCCTGTGCAGTCCCCTCCTGCTCAGCCAGAGAGGCTGCAGCTCCCCAGGGCCTTGCCCAGGGCAGAGGACTGCACCAGGGATGTGGCCCTGCATGCACTCCAGCACGCACTGCAACCCAGCACCTCCCTGCTGGGATGAGCAGCCCTCTGCTCCCTGGGACAGGCCAGGATAAAGTGTTCTTGCTCCTGTGGCCAAGCGGTCTAGCCCAGGCCGCTCATACAGTGAACTTCTCTGCCTTCCCCAGCAACCACCTCCTGGAATAAGTAAACATTGGCACTACAGCATTTCACAGTTGAACCGTAAACACTGGCGTTTCTCAGCCCGCCATCCCTGTGCTTAGTCTGCCGTCCTGCATCAGCAACATCCGGGGACTCAGGCACCCCTAGATCGTTTTGACCTCTGGTGCTCGGCCTTGCGTCAGGCTTTGGCGCTGCGCCTTCACCATCTGCAGACGCTTCCCGTGCAAGCTGAACTGAGACCAGCTGAGGAGCTGCAGCAGTGCGCACGTGATGGGTACAAAGACGAGGAGGTAAAAGCAGCCCTGGCGAAGAGCTGGCTCCAAAACTGTGGCAGACTCCAGCTTCGGCTGGGCACTCACCACGTTGCTCAAGGGGTTGCGCTGGAAGATGTCATAGCCTGGTGTCAGAGAAGAGTTTGTGAGACTGGAGACAGTGGGATGGACCCTTACCCATTCTCTCTGACTGGCCTTGGAGATGCAGAGACCAGGCGCAGCTTAGCAACTGGAAGAGTCCTCTGTACCCACCCAGGGTACAGGACATGGTGGAAGACACTTAACTCCCAGGTCTGCCCTCTCCAGCCCTGCTGCTTTCCCCAGGAGCAGCCTTACCTGTGTATGTGCAGAGCAGCCAGGTGCCAATCAGAGGGGCAAAGGTCTGGCCCGGCTTGGTGACCAGAGCCACCATCCCAAAGAGCAGCGCTGAGGCTGCCTGCTTCCTACGGTTCAGGACTAGATCCTCATCCACCAAGTCAGACACTACCAGGTTGAGCAACTTACAGGTCCCTTCTGTGAACACTCGGTTGCTGCAAAACAACAGGCAAAGCACTAAATAGAGGCATCAAGAAGTGACAGGAGTAGGTGAGACACGAGAGAAAATGGAGAGGGACAAGAAAGGTTCCCCCACACTTACAATAAGAATTTCAGAAGCCCTGAGTACAGGAAGGGAACACTGCTAGCTGTACCCTGCAGCGATGCCTTGGATCAATCCTGGCCTGCCAGACAGGCCTTGGGATAGGACATGCTGGGCCAGTGGCTAACAGGCAGCTGCAGCACGTACCAAGGGCTATGGCTGCAGGCAGGCTGCAGAGGAGGAGAGCTCAGCTCAGCAGCCAGGAGAGGCTGCTGCAGGCTGCCACCAGCCTGACCAGGTCTCTGTCCTCGCAAACATCACTGCCTCCCTCATTCTGCTGCAGGCACAGGCAGTGGATTCTGCAGTGACCCATCCCACACTCGGGTGCCGTCAGAGCTGGGAGCCACATGGCTTCTGTGTGACCCTGGCTACTGTTCCCCGCCTCCCACTCCTCTCCATAAAAGAGACAAGTCATTTTCCCTCCCAGGTGGCAGAGAGCTGGGGAAGCAGCTGGGAAGCCAGGGGAAGCGAGCGCTGCCTGCCTACCTGGCAATGAAGATGCAGAGCAGATACACCTGATCAGGTCCTGCCAGGAGCATGACAACACTGAGAGCCAACTTCAGGAAAAAGAGTCCTCGCACCACAGCATAAACCCCACAGCGGCGGCAGAGGGACAGGAAGTAGAGGTTGTTGAGATGGGGGGCAATGTAGGAAACACCTGAGCAGAGACAGAAGCACAAATAGCTTGAGAGAGTTTCAGTATCCACCATGCCCCCAGGACCGATACTGAGAGAGGGGACAAGGCTGGCTCTCGCCAGCAGGGCTGTAGGACAAAAGTACAGAATAGCCCCCACGCACACACAGAAGGCTGTAGCGGATTTACTCAGTGGCTTACGGCACAGCACACACTCTTCCTACAGAGGGAGGCCTTCTTGCATCAACCTCATGGGCAGGAAGGAAGAAAAGACTTGCCTAGTGTCACACAGGGGCTGGGACTCAGCCCTGGAGCAGAAGTGAGAGGGACAGGACAGTGTGACCAAACCTGGCCCACAAGAACCCTCCCAGGTTAACTCTAGGACCAGTGCCCACAGATCTGGGG